TAGGTAGGTAGGTACCTAAGGTACGTCCGTAGTTAGGTGGTAGATAGCATCACGTATCGTATCGATAAGGGAGATGGAAGCGAGACTAGTTTCAACTAGCGTAGGGGACCAGAATAGTACCTAAGTAGTAGGTAGGTTAGGTTAGGTTAGGTTAGGTATTTCTCAATTGGTACTTTATCCTCGAGAAGGGTATCTCAAACTCCATCAAACAACCTCGACTTTGCCACAGAAGGTTTTCTTTTTCTTCTCTCCTCTTCTTCTTTCTTTCCCCTCAACGCGAGTAGGGAAAGAAAAGAAGAAGAAGAAGAAGAGAGAAGAACAGGAAAACAAAAACAATGCAAAGCGAATAAAAAAATTTTTCCCATGCCAACCATCAAACCATCAAACGAATTATGCCAGGTGTACATCATCATAATGACGAAGCAGGAGGAAAGGGATGAAAGAAGGGGGCAAAAAAAGTGAACTCCATCGTCTGGATCCGTCCTTTTTTTGGGTTCTCGGTCAGGGCCACCTTAACAACGACCACTCGATTACGCCCTGCCATGGAAGCTCCCTCTACTCTTCATCTTCTCTAGGCGGTGTGCTCAGTAGCACCGTGAGCGTCGGTGGCGCCGGCAGCCTCGCCAGCATGCTCCTCGAGTCTGTGTTCACCGGCAGCTAATACCGGGTTAGCAAGTGCTTGCGACTCCTGGCAGGACAGCCGGCCAGTTATCCACGGAGTGAGGCGTCCAAAGCGGTGCGGAACAGCGCTCGTGGATGGGGTTGGTGGAATAGACTTACCAGTCTCAGCGGCGTGCTCATCAGTCTTGGCTCCCTCGGCGGCAGGGTTCTCTCCAGCGGGAGTGCCCGCAGCTAGTCTGCAAGTCAGCTTCATGCAGATTGCGGGTTGGGTTGGGTTGGGTTGGGTCTTGGCGGCATGTCACGGGAAAAACAAGGGTCCATGTGTTTTACATCAGTTGCACTTACCCTCGGCGTTGCCATCAGCACCCTCTTCTTCAGGGGACTTCTTGCTCTTCTTGCGGAAGAGGGCCTTGAACTTGGCCTTGAGGTTGGTCAGAATACCGGCTGTACGAAAGACGGATGTTAGTATGCATTCGTAGTACGTCGTGCTAAGCGGAGCCTCGTGACAGAAGGGAGCTCGCCATCTCTGGGCATGGCCAGACGATGGATGGCGGAAGGGAAAGGGCTATCCGCATCGACAACAATCACTGGTACGATGGTACAAGAACTTGTCGACCATAGTCGCAGCGGGAAGGGGGCCAGTCGATGGGAAGAGGGTTGGAATGGGGGCACGAAAGGGGAGGGGGAACTGGACGGATCGTACCCATTGTGTATCAAGTTTACGATTCCTTCTAGAGGGTTTCACGGGAGAAAGAGAGAAGAACCCTGGTGGTAGAGAGTGGATAGTTCGCAAAGGCAAACAAAAGAGTGATGAGACGTGAAGCTGTGGAAGCGGATGATGTCTTGGGATCAGGCAGAAGAAGAAATAATCGTGGTAATGAAGAAGGCTTTGAAGAGAAGTTCAAATCAAGAGACAGGAGTAAAAGTGTGGAACTTGGAGAAATGGTATTAATTACCAGAGGTGGATACGCGATACGCGCTAGCGATAGCCAACCGCAGCCGAGATTTGGCTATGTTAGCGCCCGCAGACGGCATCATGCAAGGCGCTCGAGCCCCCTTACAATCAGAGCATAAAATAGGTAGGTAGTAGTATGTAAATAAAAACAAAACAAAACAAAACAAAATAAAATAAAATAAAATAAACTAAAAAATAAAATAAACTAAAATTGAAATATATAAAAAAGAAAATAAAAAAATTTTAAGGAAAATAAAGGGAAATAAAGGGACAAGCCGTAGTACATCACGCTACACCAGGATTAAAACGTGATACGGAATTTTCCCCATCTCTCTTCTCTCCCTGTTTTGATGTACGTTCTAATACGGAATACCTACCTACCTAGTTTATTAGGTAGTGTACAGATGTACGTAGTGCAGTGCCAACACGGCCAATGATTATTATTATTATTATTTTCAAGCCCCCCCCGTCCATCCATCCATATCTCTCTGCCAAGAAGATATGACCTCCAAGGGCATGACCGGTCATCTGCGAATAATATTTCAATCTTTTTCGGTTCCTTGTATAACGACATATGTGGTGTAGTGTTAGGCTATTTATGGCATCCATACAACTGAAGCCGAATATTGTGTTTAACAGTTGTAGGTATGTAGGTAACTCGTTGCGTCTAGGTTAGGTAGTATCAACTCAAGTGGCTGTGAGAGAGAGAGAGAGAGAAAGAGAGAGAAATAGTGTATAGAACGGGCATTCCGTAGGTAGTTTCGACACTGCGTTCTGGCTAGTAAGGCTCGAGAAACTATAGAGTCTAGATACGGGAACCCGCAATGGACAACGAGCTCCTTTCTTGAATCTCTCCTTCTTTCCTTTTCCTTTCTTTCTTCATGATCGACTGACTTACAGCCTGGCCTAGTTACTGACTTACTGACAGACTATTATTCAATATGTTACAAGTTACAACCTGTCTGTCTCATCAATAGCATGCCTCCATATCTATGTCTAAGTTGAGGCCGGTGTGTCCATTCGCTCTACGAAGAAGTACATGTAATGTCCACTGGGGTTACTTGATTAGAACCTAGGGACGTACTATGTACATACCTAGGTAGTATATTGTAGGTATTCCGTACATTACGTAGGGATGGACGATCGATCAAAGAAATCTGGGCTGGTGGTCTTTGGTTATTGCTGCACTGCTGGGGGGGGACCAATGTTTGTCACCCTTTCCGGGGATCCCAGCCAGTCTTGGCATAATATGTTACGAACGAATCCTGACTAGCGGATTACTAAGTGACATTTTCTTGGCGAACAAATCCTGAAAACAGGGCTGCAATGCTGCTGCCGAGATGCCTGCAGTCGTCGGCGAGAGGCTCCGGGCCCGGACGTCATCCCCGACGTCAAGATCGGGTGGAGCACGATGAAGAGGGTCATAGGTAGGTAGGTATGTACGGAATATGTAGATGGACTCCACCTAATGAACAGATCTGAGGTACGGTAGGTAGGTACTGTAGGTCGGTATATGCGCGCCCCTACGAATTCGGCTGAAGCCGCCGTTGGATGGGGGAACTGAACGGTAGGCCGGCCCAAGAGACGGCAGCGTGCGCCATACGTACTGGGTAGTCCACGAACGTGATTTGTTCCTGCTGTCTTATTTGCGGGACAAGAAGCGAGTCAGAGTGTGCTTCCATCCGCATCGTGTCCCCACATCAGGGTTTCATATAGCAGGTAAGGGCCTAAAAACGAGTAACAGGCAAGCATCGTCGCAGCTGAGTCATGAATCACTCAGAGATAGGTAGGTATGGTAGGTAACAGTCAGTGTTAGACGGAATACTGTGGGTATGTACTTAGGTACGTCCGTACTGTCAGGTTGTTTAATGGATTATTAAATACCTAGGTAGCGCCTCTCGGATCATTCCTTTCCTTCGTTTAGATAGTAGCCCACGTCGCTTTACCTAGGTATTCCTAGTGTGGTGTAGTAGTCCTTGAAATAAGGCCATATCGTCATCTTAAAAGTGCCAGTCGATCAACTTGAGATCTGTCCCGACAGATAGAAAGATACTACGCGGGGGGAAATAATGGCTCCAATTATCCATCTAGTCCGTCATGCTCAGGGCTATCACAACCTCGATGTTGCAAACCAATGGATACGGGATCCAAAGTTGACCGAGCTCGGCATAAAGCAATGCAAAGAGCTGTGCGAGAATTTTCCTTACCACAACAAGATCACCCATCTAGCTGCCTCGCCACTCCTCCGCACACTATATACGTGCCAGTTATCCTTCGCGCCGGCCGTGAAGGCGGGAAAGAAGATCGTGGCGCTGCCGGACGCGCAGGAGATCTCTCTCTATCACTGCGACCTCGGCAGCGAAGTGGGTGAGCTGAAGCAGAAGTTCGGCAACCTTGTAGACTTCCAGCTCATCCCCAAAGACTGGCCCAACAAGGGCCCTGGCTCCAGACACTATCCCGACATTTCGAAGCTGGACGCTCGAGCCCGCGACACGAGGCTATGGCTTCGGGATCTCGTCAAGGAGGCCGGCGACGACGCACATGTGGTGCTCGTCACGCACGGCGGTATCCTTCACTTCATTACAGAGGAATGGTCAGGGATAAGTCCCGACCGAGGTAAGTCGTACCAGCGAGCAATCAATCAATATATACCTCGATCCCTTTCATTCCCAGCTCGCCGGGAGTCAATTACCTACCTACTGTTCACTAATCTAGGCAATTCTCCGCAGGGACTGCCTGGTTCAATACAGAGTACCGCTCGTATGAGTTTGTAGACAAGACGGGACAAGATCCCGCGGCAAGCCTGGTGGAATTGCCGGAGAGCCGTCGCCGCAGAAACGCGTCCGAGACCTTAGCCACCGTGGCCGAGAACAAGGCGATGCGCGCGGGCTACGAGGCCGTGCTGGCGCTCGACCTGGAGACAGCGACCCGAGAGCTGGCTAAAAACGACGCGTTGTAGTTGTAGGCACACACTCAGTGGGTAATTCGAAGTATGTCATGGAAGGAAGTGGTTTCGCGGTTGATTAGGTGCCTCGTTATGGAATAGGTAGGACGGGGGATGGAGATGGAGATTTGCACTAGGTAGAAGCTAGCTACTAGGTAGCTTACCTACCTAGTGGGTAAGCTGGCGACTACCAGAATACCTAGATATCCAGAATAGATACTATCTAGATAGTAGTGTCGATGGGTGGGTTTACTTAGGTAGGGATCCTAGACGTTGATTAAAATGCTACTACCTACCTACCTACCTACGGATCCCTACACTATTTTAAATACGAAGTGGGCAACCAATATGAACGAATCCCCCCGTTCCATTGTTCAATGCTAGCGACGTACGGATCCGTATTCCGTAGTCAAACAAGCTTCACCCTAACCATAGACTATGCTAACGCCGGCAAAACTCAATCATCGGATAGATCCAGTTGGCCTCTTGGTCTAGAGGTATGATTCTCGCTTTGGGTTCCGCTCAATCGGAATATGCGAGAGGCCCCGGGTTCGAATCCCGGAGAGGCCCACTTATCCTTTCATTTTGATTTATTTTTGGCCTGTCTTTTATTTTATATCCTACTAGTACTAGATTCATTATTATTTATGTACGGATTACGAAATAGGTACTTCGTCTTGTCTTCTGGCGCTCCTTTCTGAAATGGGAGAAGTACATATTTGATTATTTTCCCAGGTACCTTGCCTTCATAGACAGGTGTGCCGGTGGCCCCCCTGAATCATATACGTATGCCTACCTAGCATGCTGGGTCGATATCTTCTACCTAGTGTAAATAGATGGTTGGTCTGCTCATTAGATAAGAATAACCTTACCGGCGACTGGCTGACTGCGGGACCTGTGATTGAATAATTGATTATACAAGGATTGTGTAGGGTAAGTAAAAAGCCGACTATCAACTCATCAATTTTCATTAGTTCTGCACAATGCCTGCGTGATAGGTGATACTATGTACCACCAACACCAGGTAACTCATGGTTTCATTGCTGGGGTTATCCACGTCACTTGACATATTGACAGCATGATTCGATACCGAGACGGCGGCATGACGGCACGTCTCCAAAATATAATATCGCAAAAATTCCCATGAACGGAGGAGTTCCTACATATGTGAGAGCCGAAGCCACAAACAGGACCCCACGTTGCGTAAAATTTTTTTTCTCTTGAAAAACACGATGAGAAGATCAGCTCCGGGGACCTGTCGACCGACAACTTTTCGTAGAAATTTGCTGTGTGGAAACCGGGCACCGGCATAAATCGGTCCGTACGACCTACTCGAATTTCAGAAGGGGGGCCCTCAAGATTGGCCAGCCGGGTTGGTAGATTGTATAATGATAACACCGTTACCCTGGAACAGTTGCTTCGATTCTATAGGAAATTAAATCGATCGAGAAAAGAGATTACTATTATATTACGCCCGTAAATGTCCAGCTTGCGGCATGATATTATGGCGTGATCGATCCCCCTACAGATGAACCCATAGGCAAATCCGTATCTTGGTTAAATGGACCTCACTTAATTAATCCGCTCATCACTATAAGTAAAACCTCTGAACCAGCTTTGTTTAGAGAAGGAGGCTGTGTAGTATATTGATCGTATCTAGGCACATGCTGCGCTGCAGGCTCTCTACGTTCAGCGGGTCCGGATTCTCAGGCTAGCTGAGCGTTCCGGCCTGGGAACGCCGTGTCGGTTTTCATTCGGATCAAAAAAGGACATACGTACGGATCCGTACCACGGCCTACCATGGTGTTCCCATAAACAATGCCATTATCAGACCATCAGAAATTTTAACAGGTCATATCAATCCGAAAGATGCCGGTTAAGCAAAGCTCCCTTCTTCCCCTTATGGATTACACCAGTGCTTTCCCCTTGCGGCGGGCTACATATTCCAGATTCCCGTCTCTTTGTTTCCTATCAGAAATCCATAGGCAGTGTAGTTTGGGAGCGCAGCTAGTACATGTCCGTAGCCTATTCGTTCGATCCGGCGCACTGGGTCGGCATTCTTACATCCGAGATTCGGACACGGATGACTCCGTCAACGGTGAAGCACTAGCTGCCAATGTCAGTGCCCGCCGTTGTCATCTACTCTTTCCCTGCCTTACTTGGACGACTTTGAACTCGGATTCGGCTGCATGGTCAGCCATTTCCCGGAAAGGATAAATAAGTGTTTCCCTGAAACCATGCTACGATACGCGGGTTGTGCCTTGGTACTCCCGCCTGATCATTCAGAATATCATACGCCATGGTTTGTGATTAGGTTGTTGTAGAAAGGGCTGGTCATACCGGCATGACTGGCACAGTCTCGTGGTATTGTGAGACGGTCCCGGCATTTTCGGCATACAAGAACAGCAGGCGAAATAACACGTTCCAGTGGTGATCGGAGTGAAGATAACATACGTACATAGTCCATACATACTCAAGTGATCCGCATTATAGTCGGAAAGCTTCACTTCAACGTTGGTTGGCACCTAATGCAGGTGATACATCTCGTCACTGACCCTGCCGGCTTGACGTCCATCAGTACAAGGTATGCCGATACACCATGCATGTAGATTGAGATACCGGTGAAGAGCGTAGACCCTAAATTCGGGCCATCTCAGGCAATAATGATATTTCATCAATTTGCTGATTTGTAGCGACGATATCCGCGGGGAGGGTGTTCGTCCACCTCACAAAATTATGGCCACTGCCCATTTATAGATCTTGAACTACTTCCCATATTTACTTCATTTCTTCCTCCACCATTCCGATGTCGTCCTCTTCTGGCCGCCATGGATATCAACAACAGTCGGCTCCAAGCAATATTTCCTGGCAGAGGGATCTCGACTTCTTCCTCTTTTTAAGCGTCAGGGGATGGGATGAGCTGAAGGAGGCTGGCACGTAGGCTCCAAAATCAGCGGCCTACTCACTGACCTCGAACTCAAATGGCCCAAGTCGAGCCTCAGGGTCATTCGCGAATGTCGATGTTACGACGCCAATGGGATGATGATTCTTGGAGGGCCGCAAACGCTTAGCCCCCTTTTCGATCCCTCAGGCTGTTCTCCGCACGAAACGACGGTCGCCTCGCCTCATAAGTCTTATAATTACTGAGGAGGCTCATCATCATCATCATCATCCACAATTCCTAGTGGCGCCGCAAGACTCTCGAGAACCGAGCATCCGTTTGAGGAAGTGGCAGAGCGATCTTCTCTTTTGCCGGGGCGGCCAAGAAGCACTTCCCACGGGAACGCAGATCATTCTAGCCGTAAAAAGTATTAACGTTAAAAACCCACCAAAATGTTTACATCGGCCCTTGATTCATTTGCGAATGCATAACACCGCGCTGCGTAGCAACCATTGTGTCTAATTTACCCAGCGCCAACTGCATAGTAGCACTGGTTCTGAGAAAATTGTAAACATTTTGCGGTGTTCTGAAGATACCGGGGACCAGATGACCACGGCAGGCCAGCGTAGCCAGCGTGAATATATTATGGACTTCGTAGGGGGGAATGCCATCCATTGTAACGGCGTTGTTGTGCCACAGGATGCGCGCTATGGCCAGATCCTCGTTATTATTTGCCCCTTGGAAGATAAGACTGAACAGTTCCCGCTGCTCGCCACGCTGCGCGATAAGCCCAGCCGCCATGGCTGCCTCTTCTAAGTTCCAAGGAGATTGTAAAGGCCGTGAGAAAGATGTGTCATCGACTGGGCTAGCGTTTATTGCGTACTCTAGATCGGGTGGTGAAGAGGGCTCTTGGCCCATGGAGTGCACGTGAGGATGAGATCTGCGATACGCCATCTGGGCGTTGATGACATCCTGGCGAGTTAGAAATTGGCCACCAATAGACTCCATGGTCATCTGTACGGCCAAGTTTCTTCCATTATCACCCATCATCGTCCGAAGGAGAACTGCAGGGGCTTCCCCGCTCATCGCTTCTTGCTTCGCCATATCTCTCAGAAAGCTAGAGCGCCGCGTGCTGTCAATTTTGGTCACGTCATGATTGTGAGATGATTTGCCAGCGGGACCCCAGATAATAGACCCATCAGCCAGCGAGGTTTTCTTCGCCGCAGCTGGGCAACCCACAGGGGTCCGGGACTTTTTGTTCCTCTGGCCCGTGGTACTTTCCCGAGCGCGGGCCTGCTTAGCATGGAGCATGCAACGGTAATGACGTGTAATGCAGCCGTCCTTTCGCGTGTATGCTGCACCGGACGGAGTCCACATGTTATCACAAAACCGCCAGTATTCCTCAAACTTACCGCGTGGGTACCGCACCTTTTCCTTGGCCTCAAAGATCTGCAGTCGAATCTCCCGAACGTTTTCGGGCACTGTGAATAAGTCGGCTCGTCGAATGGATGTGTCAGATGGCGTATCACCCAAGGCCGAGGACTCTGGCGTAAAGTGTTAAGAGCGATCTATGTTTGCGGGCGCGACGAATCCTACCTGCTGGCTCAAGCTCAGTGGGAGAGGACATGCCCAGAAAATCCTCTGCGTCAGCATGTGCGATGCCGGCAATCAGGTCGGACTGCATCATGTCGGATGGGACTCGAACAAGTGCAAAGGATCGTAGGCGCGGGCGGGAGCGAAGAAATCCAGGTCACGCGTTGGGCAGTGAGCGAGCGGTATACAGGGCAGAGCAGATGGGACTCGCTCCGGATAGAGGGTCAAACCAACTACCCATACAACAAACAAGCTGCTCTCGCAGTCACAATCATCGTCGCAGAAGTGACTGCCGATGGCGATCGTGTCCCTTGTACAAACATTCCTTCTTTTCTATTCCGTTTAAGCGTTCATTTCCCTTAATCATTCCAGCGGTTGCCATCCTAGTAAAATTTTAAGCAGAATTCGCTTTGAACGCACACATTACATAATACATACGCAACCCGCCGCAACCCGATATCCACCAAGCTTCATCGAGAGGTCATACCTAAAATACATCTCAATGCTTAACACGTTTCTGTCCGACGGATTGTGGCCGTTCCAAATGGTCCGGAATGTTTACCTTAAATAGACACGTCTTGCCCGCGTCACTTGTTTTCATTGGGCAGTTCTCTTCAGGCCATGGAACGTCTTAATCTAAGAAGTTTACCTAGTGTACGAAGTACTTATACGGAATGCATCTTGTGACTAGGTATGTTACCTACCTATCTATATATAGGTGGCAGGGAGAAACCAGGTATCTTGACGATGAATTCTCGTGAATTATCTGAGAGATGCCAGATCACATGGCACTGAGGACTGACAGTTTTGATCTTTATGACTAGAGCCGCTGTGGTTCAAATCAATATTTAACCAAGGCCTGAAATTCGGCCGGATGGTCACGTTCCCAGACGAACCCGTAGTGACGCTCCAGTGTTGGATGTATAAGTAAGCATTGGTGTAATCCTCCTAGTCGCCTTGGCGACTCTCTCCCGAATCCGAAGGACTCATAAGACTTATGGTAAGGACTCGAGTATGAGCACCTAGGACGATTCACGAGTTTTTAACAAGGCGCCAATCAATCTCTGATTGGCCTCAGGAGCCTCAAATAGGGGGG